TAGAGAAGGGAGAGGCAGAGTGAAAGTCAGATTATAGAGATTCAGAGTTAGAGGGACATGAGGAAGTGGGGAGAGCAAGGAATTCTGTCCACACTCCCAGATGGCAATGGCACTGTCTGGAAGGACAGTGATGCTGCAGATGTGGAGAGAGCTCTATTCTCCTCTGGAATTTATGATACAGGACAAAGCTTAGCAAGGATGCCTCTCAAGCTTACACCCCTCCCTGGTGTTTTTAGTGATGAAAGTCCCAGGATCTTTCTCTGGAAGGGCAGAAAGGGAGGGGCTTTGGAATGTGGGGATACCAGATACCCTGCTACCCTGGCTAGGAGCCCACAAGTTTTCAAAATCCCCAGGGCAATGCAACAGGCCTCCTGTACCTTCTCACGCAAGAGTCCTAAAACAAGCAGCTGGGACTCCGTCAATACTCCAGACGACTTCCTGCCTCAGAGCACCCAGCAAGGTTTCAAAGGCCATCCTTGAGCTCTGGGGAACTGTCAGCTTGGACCACAGCAATGATTCATCGGCAGTATGAGAATCACAGGCACACACAGTCACAATCCAAACCACGTGCCCTGGCCTTGATAAAGCAAAGCGTGTCTCAAGAGAGGTGTGGTTTTCCTCTGCAGAGCTGGGCAAGGAGGCAATTTCTATACCAGTGCCTCATTAGCTGCACCAGGCATCTGTTAGACCTCTCTACTTTGGCCACCAGCCAGCCTTTCCATGAAACAGAAGTTGTGAGAGGAAGTAGAGTGTGGTTGTTACGCATGTGGGCTCTGCAGGCTGAGTGCTTGGGTTTAAAACCCAGCTTCATCTTTTCCTATCTGTGTGACCCCGGGCAAATGGCTTGACTTCCCTATGCCTCCATTTCCTCATATTTAAAACTGGAATCATAACAACACCTGCTTTATATGATTATTGAGAAGATTAAAACAGGAAAAGTAGGAAAAGGTTTTAGCACAGGACCTGATCCATCACTATTGACGCAGCCACAGGCATTAGCTGTCATCATTGTGTCACACTGCTCTGTAGTGTGGCCACCGCCTGGATCTAGGTTCTGCTTCCTGCTGAATTACCTGCCACAGGCTTGGCATGTGCATGCCACATTGGCCTCCCAATGCTGAATGGCTCCACTGCCCACCACCAAAACAGGTGTGACACTTGGCTTTTTACCAAAGCAAAAAATGCCACTCAAATGTAGGTAGCAAAGTAGTGCCAGGAAAGCAGGGCATGTCATTTAAGGTTTTATGAGTTACGTTTTTTCTTTAAACCTACATTTTAAATGTCTGCCATAATGTGCCATAATCTATTCTGGGATCTTTCTTTCTTCCTGGAGAAATTTATCTAATTATAATGCAAGTCACTGAGAAAACAGAATTCACTTAGTGTCTAACATTAAATCTTGCTGGAATGATCTAGTGTTTATTGCTCCAAGATACATCATCTTTTTGATGAATGAGTTAAGTAATGCTTAGACATCTCCAGACTCACACAGCCTTTTTCAGCAAAGAAGCTATGAGAACTTTCTTTCTCCAAATCTCATCTCTTTCTAATCTCATGTATTGGTATATATCAAAATAGTTATTTTTCTTCAGTCACTCTCTTCACTGAAAAAGCGTTTTATCAACATTTCTCATACCCTCTGACTCTCAGTCTCCTGAGGGTAGAAATTAATGCCCATTCATAAACCAAACGTGATGTGCCAACTTTGTGCTGAAGTCTCTGCTAAGTATTGGCAACAGTGAACAAGTCCATATCTCTGTGTGAAAAAGCGTACAGCCTGTTATGTGAGAAGAAACAGCAGCACATAACTACAAGCACGATAACAGGGACATGAGTGTGGAACAGGCCGAGGAGAGAACCACTGGCTATGAAGGGGGTGGATATCAGGAAAGACTTTCCATCCATGAGGCCAGAAGATGAAAGGCTATAATCCCATGTCTGGAGCATAGCAGGTGCCCAATAAATTTGCATTCCTCTGGGCCTAGTGCTACCTCCTTCCCATCTTTCTCACTAGAGGGAGGTGTACCCAGGCAGGCAAGTCTTGAGGAAGGAAGGGAGGTTTTCCCAGCAGACAGCACAAAGAATGACTTCCAGAGAGGAACAGGATTCCACAGCATGGACAAGCTGTCACACCAGCACCCTTAGGGTAGAGTGAACCTGTGACCCGTGTGCCTTACATAATATTTAGTGATAAAAATAAAAAGACAGGAAAAAGGACTATAAGACGTTCAGACTGGAAATAAAGAAATAATAGAATACACAATTATCTATGTATGTTTGATATTGGTGCAAGAACAGGGCGAAGTCATTGAGAAAGGACAGCGGGAATCGAGAAGCAGATCCACATATGTATGATTAGCTGGTTTTCAACAGATATGACAAGGTAATTCAAGGGAAAAGGACAGCTGTCAACAAATGGTTCTGGAACAACTGGACATCCAAATGCAAAAAATGAACCTTCATTTTCACTTCTCACTATATATAAAGATTTATTTCAAATAGGTAACAGGTCTTGATGTAAGTTAACCTATGAAAAAAAAAAAAAAGAAGGGAAAAAATCTTTTGTTCTCAAAGTAGAGAAAGATTTCTTAGGTAAAATACCAAAAACAATCCACAAAAGAAAAAAAAAAGTTGATGAATTGGAATTCACCAAGATTAAAGCAACTGCATATTTTGCTTTCCCACCAGTAGTATTTAAGGCTTCTAATTGCTCTATATCCCTTCCATTAGGGATATAGATTCTGTTAACAGAAAGATACTGTTAACAGAAAGAAAAGACATACATTGAAAGAAAATGTTGCAAATGACCTATCTGATAAAGGGCTTCTATTCAAAATATGTAAAGAAGGCTTATTAATTCATTAAGACGATAAACCACCAATTAAAACGACAAAAACAGATTTGGATAGTTCCCCTAAAATGAAAGACTGCCAAATAAACACACGAAAATGACACTCAACATCGTAAGTCATTAGTAAAATGCAAATTCAAACCACAAACTATCACTACAAATCAAGCAGAACAGCTAAAATTAAAGACTGATGGCAGGGGTACAGAGCAACGGGAACTCTTAAATACCACTGGTGGGAAAGCGAAATAGTGCAGTTGCTTTGGAAAACAATTTGATAGATTTTTATAAAGTGAAAAATAAAGTACACAAATGTTTATAATGGCTTTATTTATGATCACTGAAAACTGGAATTAACCCAGATATCTCTCAACTGCTGAACAGACTCTTACTTCACCACAACAGAATAGTATACAGCAACAAAATGAACAAACAATGCACACCACACATTATAAATCTCAAATGTTATTATCACATGAAATAAAAGGAGCAGACTCAAAAGGCTACACACTATGTGATTTTATTTATATGACATTCTGGGAATACTACAGAAACAGAAAACTAATAGGTGATTTTTAGCAAGGGAAGGTTGACTGCAAGAAGCTTAACTGCATGAGGGAACTTTGGGGATGGGAAGTGATGATGGAAATATTCAATTGATTGCTACGGTAGTTAGTCAAAGGCATATATTTATTCAAACTCATAGAATGATACTAAAAAGTAAATTTTATATAAATTAAACTTCAATAAACCTTTTATAAAATTATAGCATATCCATATCATTTTATATTATGCAATCGTTTTATAAATAAGATTTCCATGTATGCCATATTAGGTTATCTACAACATATATTGCTAGGGGTAGGTAGAAAGGTGCTAAAATAGGCAAAAATAGATACAGTATCTTCCCATTTATGATCATATTGGCTACCTCTGGAGAAGGAATTCATGCTGTTCGGGTATTTTGTTTTGAACCAAATTTGTATTACACTCAATTAGAAAAGTAAAAGCAACCTATGTACAGATCAATGAAAACCCACAGGTGTCTGGTCCCAGGGACTGCGAGGTTCAGGCCTGAGAACGTGTAAGAACACCAACACTTTAGAGGCATTCAACAAATAACCCGGGAAGCAAAATATGTGGTATCAGTTCACAACAGAGACCCTGGACAAAGGTCTCTCGCTGAACACCAGATCTGCAGTCAGCAGTTGTACACATGGAGCTTAGATTGTTCATGTTAGCAAAAGAAAACAAAGCATGAAAACACAATCTCCTGGACCCCGTTTTGGGGAAGCCGTTCCTGGCATTCCTTTGCTTGCGCTACCCGCAGCCTCCTAGGGGAGAAGACAGGAGCCCTTCCTCCAGTGAGCAGGGCCGACCACAAGAGACCACCCTAGGGCTCCCCTGGTGGTCCAAGAGGGTGCTGGGCAGCCTTTCCACCGCCCCCACAAGACACTCAGCTAACTTTAGGAAGGAACAAAGTGACCTTGACGGTATCACTGCACAACTGCAGACAAGACGACCTCAGTCTTTCTACACTGAGGCTTCAGGAGAAAACCCCAGGGGAAAAGATAAGCAAGTAAAGCCCCTTGTTGGAATTTGGGTGAAAGAAACTCCCAGGATCTGCACAGCCTCTCCAGCCTAGCCTGTTGTTATGGAAATCAGAACTCCAGAATGCAAAATGGACGAAGAGGGAAGGTGCTAACAGCCAGCCCCAGAAACTCCCGCTTTGTTCCTGCATTATTTGGATACCTTCCCTGAAGCCAGCCAGTTGATCCCAGCTTCCACAAAAGCTGAGCCTGACACTAGGACTAGAACCTTCTGTGCTCAGTAGCCTTGTTTGGCTGCCACTAGGTACCTGGCTTCCACGGGGCAAGCGCCGGGCTCTTAGGCCTCCCCCCACAGGCACCAGCCACCACGCAGCAGGTGCAAGCACCAAGATGCAGGACAGGGCATGGTGTGGCAAGGGCACAGGGTGGGCGTGGAGGGGCCGCCTACACGCAAAAGGCTTCCCGTGCGCTCACAGGTCCGAGTGGGAAGTTACAACAGAGTCCTGGTTCCCAGAAGCCCATCACTCGCCACCAGGACAGGGTTGCTGACTCTCGGGTCATGGACCAGGCCGTGTAGACGGTGGGAAGAAACCGGCACTTACCGGGGGAAGATGGCAGTCATCAAGGCTGACGCGTAGCCGGGCTTGCAAGCTCCCTCTGAAAAGTTTGCGTACTTGGTAGCTAATTCAGCAGGCCTGTGGGAAGAGAAGGAAAGTCTCAGCTTGCCAAGCACCGAGTGGGCAGAGACTATTAACCCATGAAGGGCTGTTGGTGTTTAAATCTTGAATAAAACTTCATCCCTACAATCAGCACCGTCAGCTCCAGGCATCCGGGGGGGAAGAAAAAGAGAACAAAAACACTAAGGGAACAGGGGGATAAATGAGCAAGGCCCCTCAGTGGAATATGGTGTCTACCCAATTCAGTATGGGTTCTGCAGATCTGTGCAGTAAGCCTGATACCAAGAAATCAGAAACTCCATCCAGGCTCCCAGATCAGGAGAGCGGAGCCTGGAGACCTACAGCAAAGAGCTGCTCAGGCGAGAATAAAATCACTAACCTGCCTTGGAATGCACCTACATACCCAGCCCTACCTGCCCCGTCTCTGTACACACACTATGATCCAGCCAGCAGAGCCGCAAAGAGTGCCTGAATGCAGGTCACACGACGTGTGCAGCCTTCCAGCATTTAGCTGAAGATGCTCTCTTGCTCTGGAATGTTCTCCCTTGTCTTTCTCCACCTGGCTATGTGTACTGGTCAAATGGGCTCAGCAGTCAATTTCACTGGAGTAATTCCCTGATCCCCAGATAAGGTCAAGCACCTGCTCTGCGCCCCACCGTCCATGCGCTGCCACTGCAATGTGGACACCCCCATCAGCACCTGCTACATGCTGCGGGTGTTGGCAGAATGTCTCCCTCATTACACGGGGGGAGTCTGGGATAGAGTCTGGTTTATCCCTGCACCCCCACTACCCTGCATAGAGATGGGTACATAGAAGACCCCTGTAACTTCTGAAGGAACAAGATGAACCTGAAAGTCTCACTGCACTTGGCCTCGAAACAAGTAAGTCTCTGGAAACCACAAGTCAGAGATGCTGAATGTTTTCCCAAAGACATGTGTGTTCTGGCCCTGGAGTTGATGCGTGACTGCTGTCAAGTCACCTTGCATCTTTGGGTTTCAAGTCCTGAGTATTTAATGTGAGGCTGGAGTCATCACCCCGCCAACAAAAGCCAATGCAATGTAAAGGAAACCACAGGGGAAGGACAGGTCACACTAAATGGCTGCCAGGAGGCCCGCGCATGGGGCCCGAGTGAGCCCTGGCAGGGTGCCAATTTCCAGACCCAACCTCCTCTGCCTCCACCCTTGGGCCCACTGCCAGCTTACTGATGCCCAGCTGCTTTGCTGTGCTGGGGCCTGTGGCAAACCTCCCTTCAGGGCTGCCTAGGTGGGGACTGGGGGGCGGAAGCCAGGTCTGCACTAGGTAGCCAATGATGTCACCATGAGCATGTGTCATGCGTGATTCACCTTCGTGCCCCTGTGGGCCTTACACGGAGTGGCTGCTCACTGAATGTAGACAAACTCATCTGTAGCCACGGGCAATTTCATCTACAAATCTACATTTACTTAAGTCTTCCCTACCAGTGATATTTAAAGCTTGCTATGCAAAGGCAGATGCTGGGTGACAGTCAGAGTTGGGGCTTTATTGGTGGGTAAAATAAAGCCAAAGGTTTAACAAAAAAATTCATATAACAATATTTTCTATGTAAAGAGCTACATTTTAGAAATAACATGTAAATGCCAGTGTAATTATTAAACTTATTGCACAGTGACTAAAATACTATAGATTTTTTCAATTACCTCTGTTATCTCTATTAATTCATCAGTCTACACGAGAGGCTCAGAGAGATGAAGAGCGACTCCCCAAGATCAGTCAGCCAGAGCAGACACTGGACCTGAAACGTTGCTCGCTAACAGCGGTGCAGGGCACTACCCCAGGTGAGCTGCAGCGAAAGCCACCACAGAGGGAGCAGGCTGGCACTCAGATGGGTGCAGAAGAGGATTCGAAGGCTACATACAGCAGGGAGGCGTTCTGATGTCCTAACATCTTTGCCTCGCGATCCTCCTCCCTCTGCTCAGGCCCCTTGTACTGTGAGTTCCTGTGGTGCTTCTGAATCCCGGAAAGTCTCACAAAGAAGATGAAAGCCGGTTGGTGTTTTAACACAGTGCACTGCCGAAATACACGTGACAAATATTGGGCTGCATCTTTCCTCTCTCTGGTCCACACCATCAACTTCTGGCAAGGTGCTTTAAGGACAAGGGCTGTGCTCTTCCGTTTTACAGCCGTTGCTGAAGCACAGTGGCCAAATGAAGTTCAATCCCTTTGTGACTTCTCACAGGAACAAGAATGTCAAAGCCATTTCAGTGCACCCTCCATATTTGTGGGAAGATCATGTCTTCCCTCTTCCCAAAGAGCTGAGACAAAAGTACAGTGTCTGATTCATGCCCATCCGGAAGGATGATGAAGTTCAGGCTATTGGAGGGCACTATAAAAGGTAGCAGCAGCAACAACAA